GTGGTCCCTGTGCTTTGTTGAGCTTGTTCTAAGTAGGTGCTTTAGACCACTGAGCCATCTCACCAGCCCTTTTTATTTTTATTTTATTTTATTTTTCCTTGGAGCTTTTTCCATCCCCTTTTCTCCCTTCCTCACTCTCTTCATTTTATTCTCCTTCCCATTTGCCAAAGATCTGTCTCCCCATTTCCTATCATCTGTCTTTTATTTTGTGCTTTGATTTATACTTTGTGTTTCTCGCAGAATTTTTAAGCTTTGGTGTCTGACTTAGCTGACTTAACATTATGAAGTCAAGATGCATCCAGTTTCCAGAAAATGACTCAAATTTATCCTTCTTTATAGCAGAGCAGTTCTCCAGGGCGTATAAATACCTCATTTTCTTTATCCATTCATCTGTGGATGGCCAAATAGGCCACTCCCACAATTGAGCCTTTGTCAGCTGCGCAGCTGTAAACATGGGCGTGCACGTATTACGGTAAAACGATGTCTTGGACTCTTTTGGAAACATACCTAGAAGGGGAATAGCTGCTCAAAGACAATTTCTTCCCCCCTTTTTTTTTTTTTTGGCGGAACCGGGGATTAAACTCAGGCCCTTGCATTTACCAGGCAAGCACTTATTCTACTGAGTTAGCTCCTTGGCCCCAAGAATTTCTATTTTAAAATTTTTTGATGAATTTCATACTGATTTCCTAGTGATTGTACTCAATTACATTCCTAACAACAATGGAGAAGGGTCCTCCCTCCAAATGCAGTATGTCCAGCATGTTATTTAGTTCTTTTTAATTTAATTAATTTTTTATTTTGTGTGTATTTAGTACAGGATCTATCTACAGGGTCTCACAACACAGTTCAGACTAGTAGTGATCCTCGTGTTTTTCAGCTTCCCAAGCACTGGGATTCCAGGCATGTGCTACCACCCCCAGTCTCAATCACCTTCTCTGGGCACGTTAGGCCCAGCACTCGGGGGATCAAACCCCAGTCCCTGCATCTGCCGAAGCAGGTGCTTTAGTCCACTGAGCTATCTAGCCAGCCCATGAATTGAGTTCTTAATGATGGCATTATTTCTGCAGCAAGATGGAATCTCAGTGTAGTTTTAACCTACAGTTCTGCTTCTTCTGAGAAGTGTCTTTCATTTCAGTTGCTCAATTTTTGATCGAGAAGTGTCTTTTATTCTGGGGATGTATTTTTTGAGTTCTTTGTATATCCTACACGTTAGTCCTCTGTCTGAGTTGTAGCTAGAAAAAAAATTTCTGGTTCTACAGGTTGACTCTTCAGTCTGTCAAATTTGCTATGATCCCATTTGTTGATTCGTGATGCTATTTCTTGTTTAATAGGGGTCCTTCACATTTTTCAGGGAGCCTGGCCATAGCTCAGTTCTTTAAGTGGCTGCTTCCACAACGCTATGAGCCTCAGGTTGCTGTAGTTCGACTCCCACAACACTCCAGCCAGACAAACCATGCCTGAGTGCATTCAGAGCAAAAAAACAAAACAAAACAAAACCCTTATTCCGTTTCAAGTCTGCATCTTGTACAGCAATTAAGCACTAAGAAGAATATATGCAGTGTATTATTTGTTGAAACTGTACTTTCGATTTGATTTGAAACTGTCTCATTGCTATATGTTTATCAATAAAACTTTGAAAAGAAAAAAAAAACATTTGCTATTATGGGCTTCTGTACTCTTTTAGAATATTTTGCTGAGTTTACACACCTATAATATTCAACAACGGAACTTAAAAAAATTGGGGTATAACTATGAATGTCCATTTTGTATCTGTGTATTCAAAGTGGTTGGGATAGATATATAGTTGCATTCTCTTAATGAATAGAATGATTTTTTCTAATGGTGTTTGTAAGTAGGATCACAAGTCTGCATCTTGTACAGCAATTAACCACTAAGAAGAATATATGCAGTGTATTATTTGTTGAAACTGTACTTTCGATTTGATTTGAAACTGTCTCATTGCTATATGTTTATCAATAAAACTTTGAAAAGAAAAAAAAAACATTTTTCAGAGTGAAAAGGGCTACTATTAATTACACTGAGGCAAGAGGATAAGCCATTCCTCTCCTCAGCAGCATGAAAAGAAAGGTTGCCTGCTCCTGGGGAGGCTACTGGAAGTGAAGGCAGACAGATTGCGAAGTGCCTATGGGAGTTGGTGGGGTGCAGTGAGGTGAATGAGGACCCCTCCAAGGTTGTCCTCATAACCTGTACCTGTGATCTCACTAGGACAAAGGGTCTTTGCAAAAGTGACTAAGGATGACATCATCCCATCAGGGTAGTCCTTGGATCCAACTAGTGTCCTTATAAAGATAGAAGATAGACCATGCAGGGGCCCAAGAAGCAATGAGGCCACTGGAGTAGAGTTGGGAGTGTTGTGGCCACAAGCCAAGGAACACTTGGAACATAAGAAGCTGGAAGTAGGGCTGGGGAGATGGCTCAGTGGAATAAGCACTTCCCTGGCAAGCGCAAGGGCCTGAGTTTAATCCCTGGTTCTGCCAAAAAA